TGACCTGATACAGAAAGAACAGAAACCAGATAAAGATGTTGGTTCATTCTATGTTGAGCACAAATTCACACCTGAATATTAATTAGTAGAAAAAAAAAATCCCACTCCAAATCAGAGACACTAAATTGGTCAGAAAAATACCAATTAGCCATTTTCCACAAATCCTCCAGCCCTCGCTGTAACAAGAGAGGAAGCACAGGCTTCACACGAACAAATACAGCCAATTATTTTTGAAAGGCACAACCCATAGCTGAATGAGCCTCCTCTACAGGGAAACCCAGCCGCAGGTTTTCAAGGCAGTAGACCTGATCTTTACCCCTGTGCTGTGCTGCGTCTGGAAACTTAAATCAACTGCTTCCAAGCGTGTGAAACACCTTCAGCATCTTTACTTTCTGAATCGCTGAAAAATGTATCAGGCACCGAGCTGACTCAGATATTCAAAGAGCAAATGTGACCTGACAGCAGAAACACCTCATAAATGTCTGAATGTACAAACATGAAGTTTGTGTCAAGACGCTGAGAAACACAAGGAAACATTCAGATGCTTAACAGCCCTAAAATCCACAGGAGACGTGTTGACTTTGAGTCAACATAAGATCTGAATATGGAAACTCCCAAGAAGAAAAAAAAGCAGAAAATGTTACGAGACACCATATGCACTTTGTTCTCCACCTACAGTCAGCTGTGTTCCCACAGGAAGTGGATATAAAAGCCTCGTCTCAGGGTTCACATTCACTCAGATCTGCTACAGCAACAAACAAACCCATAATCCCATTCTGATGTCCACACCCAAACATCACAAAGGCAAATTTGAAAAGAAGACACAGCAAGTACAGTCCTGCAGAAGGATGTTCAGAGCATGACCTCCTGTTGTCTCAAAGTTAAGGGGTGTGAGGAATTGAATGCGTGGTCCATTGAAAAGAGTTTCGATTTGTTATTTTATTTCTTACAAATACGTCATTTCTGCATATTCACGCTGTTGATGTGTGAAACATGGATTGGTGCATGGATTACAGGAGATAAAAAAGAGTAATTAGAGCAGACAAAAGGTGCAGTCTAGCAGTTGTCAGTAGACTGAAACAGCCACACAGCTGAAAGCTTTCAAAGGCATCCGATGATCTCCACAGTCCGCCTACAATGGTTTGACTAAACTGATGCCAAGATTCAAACATGAGGCTGCTCACCTAGGTAACAACCAGGGGTGTTGTTACAGAGCTCCCAAAGTCCTGCTTTCTTTCTTTTATGATTCAGCTTTGATAAAAGATTTAATATCACACAATAAAACCTCAACATTTGATACCTTAAACAACAGTAGTGTGATTCTGTAACAGTGCCTTAATCATGTCATGTTTCTGTACATTCAGAATGGTTTTTACTCTCATGCCATGTGAATCCACACACTGGGACACCATTGTTACGTCATTGCGGATGTAATGTTCAAGTGCAAAGGAGTAATGACAGCCGAACTTCGTTATGGTGCTGTTGCAGAGCCGCAATATTTAATGGGCTAGTGCCCAAACTTTTCAACTCAAGACCCCCAAAATGAGGGTGCAAGAGACCGGGGACCACCACTGTCCCTGGAGGTGGTTAAGGCATATAATGTAGCAACATCAACACACACACACACACACACACACACACACACACACACTAATAGGCCACTAATATAACAACAAAAAAGAGTACAACAGCCTAAAATCCAGAAAATCTACCCATTTGAGGCTCCTTCCCGCATGTCGTTCCCCATTCTCTATCTCCCAGTTTTCTTACTCTGTCTATCCACTCCACAACATGTTTTTGGAAGGTATCTCCTTTGGAACCGCTGGGCTAGTGTTGCCAGTCAACTGCTGTCTGTTTCACTGTCCCGAGACAGCGACTCTCGCCAACAGACTCCATCAGTCGTTGTTAACTAGCCAATAAAGCTGACCTGGTAGGAGTTTGTTGTGGCTCACACTTCACAGTAGCTGTGCAGGGTATGGACAGGATGCTTCTTGTCTGTTTGACTAAGCCTGTAAGCCCAACAATTATGTCGTAGGTATTAACTTCTGCACTGGAGTTATCACAGGCTTAAAATGCCCGCGGAGGTCACAATATTCTACCAGATAACTTTACTTTATTTTGAAGGTAAAAAAAATAAATGATCATCTAAACGATACGAGTACGTCTCCTACATTTTCACCTTACACACAGCTTCAACATAAAGGGAAATCCAGAGTTATTCAAGTCCCCCTGTTTTGGTTGCAAAGGTACGACTGGATCATTTCCATCAGGGGGTTGGACTTGAGTGAATGCTCAATTTAACTTTAGCTGCCTCGACTACTTCTGCTCCAGTAGTGATTCCACTAAAGTGTCCCAGGATGCTTTTCAACACCCACTGGGGAATCCAAACTGCCCTGCTGGTGATATAAATACAGAAACTAGACACTTGTTAAGTTAATATCTCCAACGTGTAGCTGCTGAACATGCTGGTCGACCGAGGCTGCTCTCACCTGAGATACTGGTGGACTTTTAAACGTTTTTTATTATAAGCAGCAATAACTACAAAGAATACATTTCTCATTGAAGCATAGTGACACCTGACTGAGTGTGCTGATGTTTTAAATAGCAGCATAGAAGTGATGAAAATATCTCAAGAGGATGTGATGCTGTCAACGTTTTAGACCTTTTCAATGATAAACAACAAAAAAGGGGTCAAGACTTCATAAATACACATTAAATACTTATTTTTATCAGTATTATCTGGGGGATCGGGATGGATTTACTAGAGAGAGAAATCTTGACAGAGCCTGTAATGCGTCTTGAAGTATGTTTTTCATTAACATGAGGAAACATTGATCTTATTAAAAGTCTTGGTTCTGTTGCTCAGGCAGCCAGCATCACTTGTGAATGTGCTCAGAAATACACTTTGTTGTAACCTTGACAACAACCCAACAACAGTGGTTTCAGGAGGTGCCGCATCACTACAACAAGGTGAGAAATGAAACCACTGGAGGTCAGCAACAAACACGCTTACAGTATTTGTTGAGTGTCTCTTAAAAACATTTCCTTGTTTACTTCAAGACATCCTCTCCTACAGCCAGACAATGTGAGTCCAGGGGAGTGGTGAAAATCTTGCTCCTTGCTCACAGAGCTCTTTGTTCTCTCCGCTTTCAGGCTCAGAGCAGCCAAACTGCTCAATATCTGTCGCGTTCACTAAATATAACAGTAAATATAAACGGGTACACTAGTTAATGGTGAATACTGTGACCTTAATTTAAAGCGTTACCAAACTTTAGCTAAACCACACTAGGGCTGTAATTCCTTGTTATTGTTTAGCACCAAGTCAAATTCCTTGTATATGTAAATGTACTTGGCAATAAACCTGATTCTGATTCTAATTCTAAATGGTTCAAACATTGTAATGACAACTTGAAGTAACAGTCAATAAGAAAAGTAGTTTGCCTTGTGACACCTGTGACTCATGGTGTGACTGTGGTCACTAAATATAATCCTGGCAGGTATTAACAGGATGTGGGCTTTAAAAAGAAAAGGGTCACCTTTGTGTGAAGGCATGTTTGAAATGGATTTTCTGCAATCTGAGACATGTGAAAGTAAGCGTTGCTGATTTGCACCGAGCTGCAGAGAGGGACACGGATGCCAATATTAGTTGTGAGAAAGTTACAAACCAATCAAGGTCTCCACTCCACCTGGGGGACCACAGCCAGACTTTGTCAGCTGTCTTTGGTCAAACAAACAGCGGGATGTATTAAACAATACAGCTGTCTGCCTCGATCCTCTCCACAGTTTGTCTCAGCTGCAATAACTGTTGAAGAAAAACCTCCTCATTCATCTCTTTTCCCCCCTTTTCCTCTGTTGCAGCAAACGAGAGTCAGATGTTTTGCAGAGGAAGGACGGACCCCCACCCATCCTGCTTTGCTGGGGAGGTGGGATCGCATCTGTGTAATGCGCACACACTGAGAGGAAGTTTAACATTCCACCCAACTTCCATCACTGGCCGGCAGCTGAGGCCGCAGCACAAATCTGGCAACCGCTGTTTCATTAAGGAACCCAAGCTCTGGGTCTGCTCCATTTAAGCCTTCACACAGGAGTTATAAATATGCAGCGGGTTGACATTACCTCTGGAAATTAATGCACTGGATTTATTTTATCACCTGTTCTGGGCATGGCTCTTTTACACTGGGAGGAATTTCTGAAGCCTGCCCTTGAGGGCTTATAATTTAGTGGCTTTGGGCTTAAAAAGACATCCTCTGGTGCTGCCCCCGTCAAAAGCATGACTCGCCTAAACAAAGACAAGGCCCCTTTCACCCCGCAAATTCCCTGACAACTGCTGCAAGCTTCCTGCTGGCATTTGATATGCTCCATTTCGTTCCCATGACCAAACTGCAGTCATGCTGAGGCTTTCGCTGAGCGGTTGAAGGCTCGTCTCGCTGACACTCCGACGCTCTTTTCTGTACTCTGAAGTGAAACTTCCCTCATTCTCTGAAGCAGCGAGACTGTCACAGTGAGTCAAAAGCAATTCATTCTGCTGTCTGTGTCTTCAAGCAGGCGGTAAACGCTGAAAATCTCGCTGCAATTACAAGGTGAGACACAGGGGAGCCACTGTGGGATATCACGTATAATTAGCTCAAACCTTAAGTGGTTAGGACGCCACCTTTTGTTCTGCAAGTTGTTCTTTTTCATTCAATTCTACACAAAGCATCACAAAAAAATCTGCCTCCACAGACAGTCCTAAGCTGTTTACATTATACAGAAAGTTGTTCATCCAGAAAATGGCAGCAATGTTGTCCTTTTCAGGGCCTCACTTCCACTTAGCAAGTCCATATTTACCCATCCAGTCCTGGAATCTGAACCCGTGACCTTGTCATCACAACCACACTCCTCCTGACTTATGACTCGACAGTGATCACCCACTGGCATTCGAGTATGAAACCAGAAACATCCCCTCCTTCTCCTCGCTGCCCTCCAAACTCATTGTCTTGTCAATGGTGGGGTATACTCACCGAGCTGACTCTGTTTTTCCCAGCATGTGGTTGCCAGGTTGGACAATTCCCGGTATTTCTCCGCCAGTTGGAGTTTGCCGTTACAGAGGCGGGGTCGTCGGGCCAGGCTGTCCTCGGCCAGGCTCCGATTGGACGTCTGCAGCATTTCCCTCTCCACCTGAAGCTCCTTAAACTAAAGAGAGAAATAAATGTCAGATAAATGTGGTACAGCTGAAGGTTGTTTCTCAAAACTATGTATAGGACAGTAAAACCTCCTGTAACAGACATGTCGATACTCTTTTTTGAAGGGTTGTCTTTAACTTCACCAATATTATGCAGATGACATGAAGTCACAGGCTGGACATTATAACTGGCCCCACGATGGACAGACCTGGAGCCAGCTGATTGCATGTTCCACTGGGGCGAGTTTAAACACTGCCTCAAACATAGAAAACAGCAGTGTTCCCACAGCGCTTTGTAGTTAAGGCAGCCGCATAAACAACACTACCATTGTAGAAAAAAGGGCCACGGGTCGGACTAGAAGACTACATCCTCCTTACACGGGGAACGCAAACTAACTACAAGGCCACCAGCGCCCCGCAATTTATCTTTTGGCCGATCAAAAATATGCTTGGCCAGGTGATGTTTTCACTTATATTTGATGCTCTATTATGTTACTCTTTTGTACTGTCACGTTGGAGCAACCCGATACATGAATGTCTTCAGGATACATAAAGTTGATCAAATCAAAGTTTATTACATTTTGTCTTAAGCGTAAATGTTCCTGGGCCAGTGGTTACAGTGGTGGGGCCAGGGATCTTGAAAAGCCACAGAGGCCCAAGAGGTCATGCAAAAACATCTTAGAAGAAAGTCAGTGAAACATTTGTAAAGCTGCTGTGTGGCTTGTAACACACCAGTGTACTGCAGGGACCATGTCCAATATCATAGGGCATTCATTGACTCTCTTCAAAGTGTTCATGCAGACGTGTGAATACTTCGTCTCTCTACAGTCGTAGGAAAGTTGTGTTGGTGCCTTGCAATAAATTGCTAAAAGAAACTCCCAGTGGTTCTTGGGTTACATGAGTTGATTTGTCCTGAACGACCCCACAGTGGAAAGGAAATATCAGTGACTGAAAAAAAGCTTCGGTGCATTAGAAAGTCATTTGGAGCAGCATGATACAATCTCTTATCTTCTCCTGCATCCTAATGGAGGCTGCACAGGACCCTGAATCACGTGGTGACGTGTCAGCACCTGCTGATGGAGGCAGGTAGCAGCTCCATCAGTCACATTCTCCACCAGCATACCATCACAGCTAGACCTCGGAAATACACCGATGTCCTTGAAGTCACAGGCCTGCTTCTGAAACCACCATCATCACCCAGCAGTCAAAATAGACTTTGACTTTAACTGAACAAAAACTGATGAACAGGCTTCAATGGAAACTGTAAAAACAAACGTAAATCTCCAGCACAACATCTCAATCCCACGCATCCCATTTTTACATCAAGCTATCATTATGAAGTTACACACAATCAAATGTCACCAACAAAGATTAGATTCATTCCTTTGGAGCCTTGCTTTCACAATGTAGTTATTCCTACAACTATACGTATTATCTCTGGGAAAGATTTAAACTTTGTTCGTAAACTGGGACTGCTGCAAATGCTTGAACGACTTGAGTAACTATTTCTGCAGGGCAAAAGAAAAAGTTTCCCCCATGGTGCGGTGAGAAAATACAGGAAAGAGGGAGAGCAATAAAGCTCAAGACTTAACTCCAGGCGTCCACTCAATCAAGAGAGTTCTGGGACTAGAAAAGGCCCAAGCTGACTCTCAGCTGGGAGTCTTCTACTCCAGTAAGTCAGCAAGTACCAAAACTACTCACTGCTATCGAATGTCTTAGCCTTATTTCATTATTAAAAACGCTCGGATCTTGGCTACAAATTGGGATTGTTGTCCTAGTTGCTATGTTTTGTTGAAAAATGGAAAGTTGTCTGGTTCTCTTAGAGCCAACACTTTGAAAGGTTTGAGGTTGAAAGATGAAAATGACTTTGTTTCCACTATAAAAACAACCCGTTGCCAACACAAATATATATATATATATTTTTTACTTCTAAAGGAGACACCACTCATTAAAAACGGACACTCTCTCTCCAACTGTTAATACTGCGTGTTATTTTATGACTTTGAAGTGGGTTGTTCTTTGAAACAGAATTATTTATGTCTGACAAATATCTGTTTTTTTTTTTTCTTCCCAAAGTCAGAATGATTTGGAAAGAAAAACTTGAGCATTTGTGTTTCTAAGCTTCAGTGTATGAGGCTTTTTAAAGTATGGATTGGAAAGCCACAGATTTCATCACCAAGAAAAACAATCCTTTAGTCTTTTGGATGGATTTTTTAGTCTTTGATAATCACTCTCCATGTGAGTTTTACAACCTCAAACAGTTTTTCATCCTCAATGGACAATTACTCCCTCTGTAGTACATCTTAACTTTGGAACCATGAAACGATTTTTGTTGGTTAGCTGGCTATCAATGCCTTCACTCATGCTGTCTTAAATCACATTGGTTCACTACCGGTTTACATCATCAAAGAAACCGGTGCTGCACAAACTTTTCCTGACTCTATTCTTGACAATATTCCAACGTGCTGATTTCCAAAATTACTAAAATGTGAAGGAAATATCAAGTAATCCATTATCCAATCAAATGGTGGGATGACGGTAAAGTTCATATGATTTTGAGGTTCATGTACTTAATATGCTTACTGCAGAAGGACCGGTCAACGCACTGCAGCTGAAAAGCAATACAGACTCAGTTTCCATCATGAATGTATATAAATGGACAAATCGCCTCAACCTCCTCCTGTTCCCATCTGGAAGAGCCGCAGTGTTGACTAGTGATGTTCCTGGCCGACTTATTTCCAAGCTGGTTAAATGGACCTATAAATTCTGGTCACCCCACTAGTCTCCAGATAAGAAAAAACATTCAAAATTTCGTACAATTTAATTAACATTGCCTGCGGTTAAGCGACTTATTTTGGTTTCCCTGCAGGTTTACATCCACACGCCTGTGCTAAATGAAGTTACGCGTTGATCTGATCGACATTTAGCCTGACACAGTCTACATACAACTTAATCTCCATTTTCTAGATCAAACTACAGCCAAACTGCACTGCTCCAACATAATGCTATCCATTCACTGTGCTTGTTTACATCCAGGTTGTAGAGCAGGGAGAGCCGGAGCCATAGCCAGTCTACGTCTACAGCCCATCATTGTGTGGGAAGGTTTGAGCAAAACATTTAATCGGCCAAATTATTAATAATTTGTTAAACAACTATGATTTTAGTGCCGCCTAGCGAGGGTGATGACTAACTAAAGGCACTCATACCTAGTGGAAAAAAGTTTCCGTACTTATACAATCAATGGCTGAAACCAACAATAAAAGATAATTTTTAGGTAAATTTCCCAGATGGTACCTAACAATGTGCTCATAAATGATAACCGGTCAAATCTTTCAAAATAAAGCTATTAAAAAGTTTGCTTATGTTTCTTGTCTGAAAGCTTAATAAATCATGTTTATATGGTCATGATGTCACAGAATTCTTGTTGTAGTCATCATGCTGCTGGGGTTTGAGGGATGGTGGTTGCTGTATGAGTATATGGGGGAGGGGTTGGTAATCATTGTCACTAGAATAGGAAAACCATAAATTATTTAAATGAATGCCACTCCCTGTAAGTCCTGCCAGCAAAGCGCTGATATAAACAATGGGTGTCTCAAACACTGACACAATGCCACTTTGTTAACTTCAATCTGGGAAAAATCTGAATCCCTTTTTCAACTTTTCGAACAGTCTCTGCATTCCTGTGATCCTGCCCAGCCGGATACTTTTTCTTGCTCTATTGCTTTCTCTCAACACTCAGTCACTACAAGCCTGAAGGCTGTTTCATTCAGTCTAGTGTTCTGCGCTGCATCTGTCTCACATTTTACGGGTCATCAAAAGGATGTAAGAGTCCCGAGTTCGGAGGAATTTGCAGAATGTGCCTTGTAGTAAAAAGATGGTCTGTGTGAGTGCAGAAAGAGATACCACAGATCTGCTATTCATTCTGGAAGAAGAAAAAAAAAAAGGTCCTGCAAGAATACAGATAACACAGCTCCACTCAGATTTAACAGCCCAATCATACGCCCCATTTTCTTTAAACAGGAATCAAAGTGGACAATCCATTTCCTGCTTAAAGCAATCCGCCCCGTTTATTAAACAACAATTGATGCAGACTTCAGGGAGGGAGTTTTTTTTTCCTGATTTGATGCATGAGCTATAAAGCTGTCCTGACAGTGTTTACCCTGCATGACAAATGACGCTTGGGGAACACTTAAGAGTCGGAAATTCTGCACTGTAGAAAATGAGGAACAGCAGACTGTCGTTTCCTCTGGTTCAAAATAGAAAAAAAAAAACTTGTATTTATTTTACACATGTATTTCATAGGACAGGTGCCTAGGAGAGTGATGTGTCCTTCAAAAACTTAAAGGTAAACTTCTGCACAACTTGCAAACAAACATTTATAGGCAACGTTTTGGTACTAGACCCTTTTCATCAGGCAAACAGAATCATTTCCTGTGGTTCAACATGTCTGACCACAACCATAGTGTTGCTCTTTTTATCTTAAATGTGGCTCAAGTGAAATTAGGTTTCAGCAGCCACAAGCCACCAATCAAAGATTCTGCCTGCAATGAAATTCCCCGAGTAATTTCTATTCAGTGAAGTTCTTTATGAAGCACCAGGCCTTGATTCAATCGATAGAAATGAATCCATCTGTGACGCCTCTTTGGAAGGCCAGGTTGATCATCCTGGCAGGGTGAAGTCAACTTGATGTGAAGTTCAGCTGATTCAGAACTGAGTCATGTCAGGACATGTTCAGGAGGGGAGTGTTTGGGCAGAAGGGGCTTTAAAGGGCAATCAATCAACTTTGTGAAGAACACAATCACAACAAAAGTCATGACACTTTAAGATTAGGGCAGGAACCACACCATACTTTATGTAATATTATCTAGAGGGAGCCAACATTAATCAATCAGTGAGCAAGTACTCAGCAGGGAAAAACTTCCTTTCAACAGACAGAAATGTGGAGCAGAACCAGACTCCAAAGACTCTAAAGGTAAAGAACAATCTGCCTCAACAAGCCAGGCCAACAAGTAGTGACAATTTCAGGAAGGTATTTACAATCAAAAATCTCTGACTTGACCAGGATGCAGGTTACTGACCTTCAGTTTACCTGTATCATTACATAAACACACAATTAAGGCCAACAGGAACTAAGAAAAGAAAACCATTCAGCAACATCTCAGTGATGTTTGATAGTGTCCGTCCTGCATCTGTGACTCATTCAAATCTAGAAGGAGGCAGTAAACTCAGTTTCCATGCATCCAAGGGAGATAACTCTTCTTTTTTAAATCATGTATGATTGCCATCTAAGATCGCATATTGATAAAAAAAACAATTTCCCCGGCGATCTACCCATCACATAAGTAGAACCAGGAGTTGCATGTGATAGGCTCTGCAGGTAAACAGAGAGAAACGCTGTTACACCAATCCTTAAATGCAATGATCGCAGTGCCACACCTCATAATAAGAACCCTCTAATGACGTTTGTTATTTGTTTAGTGCAGCGAGATGACGTTGATGTTATTCTGCACTCTTTTAGATTTGCTACGTCTCTCATAACAAGCCTCACCTGTCTCACCTGTTGTGATAACAGAATCGTGAGAGAAGCTTTTTGAAACGGGGAGGTGTGTTTTTTTTTGGGGGGGGGGGGGGAGTGGCTTTGTGAAAGGTACCGGTGATGAAGACTGTCAAAAGAGCGCAGACGCATTAAGTCATAAAGAAAAAGAGATGATGATGTCAGCAAGGTCTGGACCTCATTAATGGTGTTTATAAAAAAAACAGCTTGTTTAACAGTGTAATCAGGGCGGGGTCGAATCTGTGTGTGCTACTCAAAGTCATCTAAGCAGGACAGCAGCTCTCTCTCTCTCTCTCTCTCTCTCTCTGAGGCAGTTTGTAATTTGTTACGAGTGCTACAGCCCAGGTAAACTCAATAAAGCTAATAGCATATGAAATACATTTATTCCTGCTGCGAGGTTCTCAGCAGCGGCCTCCACTTGAAATCAGCCTGCCGCTGCTCCGGTGTCCAGAGGAACATAACTCTCACCTCCTCCTCTTCATGTGGTGCCGGTGGAGCGTAAATGTTATCACCCTGACACAGACAGAACTGTACTGCAGCTGCAGAGCGTTTGAGGCTACCCAGGTTTCAACACACTGCTATGTTTCCATGACTGCAGATCTTTTGGTTTCCCTACTCAAGATCAGTGTTAAAACATATCGCTCTCATCTGCATGATTATTGAGGGTCACTCTGAGAAGAAGCTCACTGTGGCACTGGAGACGGGAACATTTTGTATGGTCTTTTATTAATGAGACTATGATTATGAATAACCTCAGATGTTTACATAACACTCATCATTAACATGAGACTAATGAAGCGCAGTGCTCCCAGAGCCTGGATGGAGATGAGAGATGGGATGTGAAAGCAGTCAGCCATGAAACATATACAGTACATGTTTTGATATATACTACCGAGAGAATATTTTAAAGGATCAACGCCCTCTGGAAACAAAGGAGTCTGTCTTATTTGTTAATGACAGATAAATGCTAAAAAAAACAAAAAAAAAACACCCCCAAGCTGTCTGGATTGTGGATTTGGGTAATCTGCTCTGCTCCCAGAGGGGGAATTGTATGACCTCTTGGTGAGATTCAACCACTTTAGCTCCATCATCCCATTTCATCCACAGAGCCAGGTTTCAAATGACGCATCCTTTGCCAAACACAGGACAAATAAGTAATGACTGTCCTCGTCTCTGAGCAAATACCTCAAAGCAAGCAGCTTCTCCCTTTTTTTAAAATTCAATAAAACCAAGCATCAGCAGTGTATAAACACTGAAATGTGATCCAGCCCTGGGGTTCTCTTCTTTTAGTGGGGTCCAATAATAAAAGAAACAGTTGATTTTTTTTTAAAATATAAAACTCCTTGGGTGTTTGTACGGTCACAATGACAACATGACTATCCCACCCTGGTTATGTTTCACTGCACACACTGTTGTTATCCACTCCACCCATTGGCTGCAAGGGCAACGCAATCCTATAGCCTGCTGACTCCTGACTGAGAGTCTTTTCTGTTTGAACAGCCCCCCCCCCCCCCAAAGGCAAACCTCATCAAAATGGGGCCCCATGCATGAAAAAGTTTGGGAACCATTGGCCCACCTTGTATCTGCGTGTGTGTGTGTTGGGAGTGAAGGAGAAAGTGATGAAGTATTGCTATACGACAGAAAGGTCATCTTGTATTAGCCCCCGAAACGTGCCTCTGTCACGCAGAATGAACCACGTGGAATTCCCTTTTTAAAAACGCCGACTTTAATTTAACCGTGTTATCACGCAACCATTAAATCATTAAATGGTGCGAATAATGAAGGTTAGTGATCGTCATTGACGACAGCTTAATTCGGCACAAAAACAAAACATTTAAGCGCAACTTCCCATTGTGGAAGTTCACTTTTATTCCGAATTAGCTCGGGTCGCCAATCTATCTTTTAAACGAAGAGGGAACGGGATGACCACTTGTAAAAGTTCAATATAAATTCAAATAAGCGATGCTACACACACCAAATGATAGCCGAATAAAGGAGTATGCTAAGATCATTGTAATGGTTACTCAAGTCATCGTTTTTAACTTTTCTGATCATAGGAAAAATGAAGAAACGCTAGATTGCGACATTTTTTAAACGGGGTTCAGCGTGAGAACTCTAACCACATAACGGCGCGTATGGGGGTCTATGGAAGCTTTCTGCGCGAAGAGAACCACTGCAAGATACATTTATCACTTGGAGTGACCGCAATTATGATTTTCTTAGTGTTTTATCGTGGTCTCGGTGACTAATTGACCACATTATTAGGAGACGGCGTTCATGAAAAGAAATGGAAATCCGGCCACTCGCCACGCAGACAATCGATGAGCCATGTAAAGCGGATTTGCGTTAAATGTGAATGACATTAAAACACAAAAAAACGCGAATTTTAAAGAGAGGATAAAAAGTAGAGAAAGACAAATCAAAGGTTTAACACATGGGGTAATGCTGCACAAATTCCTTACGGCACTTTGGTTTCCTTTGGGGGGGAACAAGAGGATACCTTACCTTCTCATTGAGCCGAATGATTTGATCCATTTTGTCGTCGTTTTGTAAAAGCTCGCTAAGCTCACAGTCGCTCAAAGCCCGGTAACCGTCAGGACAAGTGTTCGGCTCCATCACGCTGGACCTTGTAGTCCTTCAGACTGAGCTTGAAGACGGTTTTGGAGACATGAAAAAAAGAACAAGTCCGCACCGCGGTCACATCTCGCTCTCACATCGGAATGCGACGCGTTCAGGCTCCGCATGCAGCGTCAACGGTACGACGCACCGCCAACCGCTACACTTCCTGTGAAAAAAACCTTCAAAATAAAAGCCACTTCCACTTCTCCAAATAGTCCAAATAAATGTACTCAAGTACTTCACTCATGTAGTATTCAATGTTATGTGCTGTGACAAATAGCAACTAATTAAGCAGCAAGTATTACTACTGTATATTGTTATAATAATAATAATAATAACTTTATTTATATAACACCATTAGTTTAGTTTTAGTTTAAGTTAAATAGTTTATTTGAAGGGTTCCTTCAACCAGTCTCACACACACACACACACACACACACACACACACACACACACACACACACACACACACACACACACACACACACACACACACACACACACACACACACATTTCATAAGAGAGAAGAAAGACATAGAACATTTTACAGATATTAAAACATTATGTTCAAGTTTCCCTGAGAGATCTAAAAGGTTGTCGAGATGACACATTAATGCTGACAAGACTGGTTCCTTAAAATCAATTTTTTGACTTCCCGGGTGAAAGTGCAGAAGTTTGTGCAAAGTTTAAGACTAATTGGAAGACTGTTCCATTCTTTAACAGCTTTAAAAGAAAAAACAGCTTGTGCTAAAGCGGAGCCACGTTTAGGAATACTGCAATCTCCGTTAGAGGCAGACCTTGAAGATCTGCTTATCAGCTCAGAGCGAAGTTTCACAAAGCTTTTCAATGGTGGGGAGCAGCATCATGGATGAGTGTGTACACTAAGCGGACATCGGTATAAAAAATGAAATTGTCAAAGCTTAGAATTTTATGTTTATCAAGAATATCACAATGATGATACATTAAAAACAGATATTTACAAAGTGCTTTGACAGACAAAGACAGGAAGTCAGGACAATAACACAATAAACATCAACAGTCCGGCAAATAGAGAGAAGAGCACAGAAATCATGTAAATGCAAATACAAGGAATATAAAAGATACAACCGGCAGGTCCTCAAATGCAGTTGAAGCCCCAATTAAAGAAAATTAAATACAAGAGAAAAGTCAACAAGCTGATGACAATAAATAAATATAAAGAAGAAGACAACAACATCACATCACAGGTTAATACAAAGAAAAATGAAGATAAAAAGTTGTGAATAAAAGACAGTTCTACTTAATGCTACTTGACTTCTTTTTTGTGCAGTCTTTTTGCCCTCATCGACTCTGAAGAGTGCCATGAGTTCAGTAAACCCTCGACTGTTTTTTGGCCGTACAACCCCTACATCCATTAGACTTGTCAGGACCAAGTGAAGCTTTGACTGATTACTGACAACTTATCATTATGTGGTTTTTTTCTGAGGAGATTATTAGATGTATGTAGGTCAGCAAACTTGAAAGCTCAGGGCATTTTTCATAAACAAAGTCCAAAGGATTTTCTCAGAGGTTTTTTTCTTTTTGTTGCATCGTCTGCAGTCTAATATCTGAACTCTGAGTGTGGTTGGCCTGAGGCATAAACAACTGAGTGTGAGCTGATGGAGGCTGCTGAGGGCCCCCCTCTGCCACCAGGGGGACACCAACACAACCCATGTGGGGGGAAAAAAGCTTGCTGATGGAGATGTAGGTTACTCCGATAATGTGATCTTGGGGGGATCATATTCTGCTCAGGGACCCAAAAAAACCTGCAGAAACACTGATTTATTTGACACGGCGATGGGCGCTCATGAGGTACATGAGGTACTTAGGCCTACTTGATTTGTTGCTTTAAACTTTAAATCCTCTATATTCATGCATCAGAATTGACAATCAAAAAAAACGTTTATTTTCATTTTTTATAAATCATTCAAAGGACGTGTTTTCTTCATTCTTTTTCCCCCAGTACAGAACTGGTACTTTGACTTCATGTATGTTTTGTCTCCTTTGCTGTTTGTGTCTCTGACAGCTCCATCCGACTTGAAGCAGTCAGGAAATGAGCTCAGGTTTAGTTTCTCACAGTGAAGTTGGTGCCGCAGACTCACTTCACCACTTCTGCTGACTGCTCATGCCCAAGTTGCCAAAGTGTGGTAAGATGTATAAACTCTGTTTTCAGAACTCTGCAGTGTTCCTGTGGATTTGGAAAATGTGTCAGTTCCAGTGGACTTACACACAAAGACTACATTCAGACTGCAGGGGAACATGGTCAAACTACTTTTGCTAACATGTGACTCAGAACAGTTTTTTATTTATTTCTATCCAGAACAGTGTGAACAACTCAAATCAAAAGGAGTCTGATGTTTGACATTTTCATCACTTTTAGTCCTGAATCAGATTCAAACCTGAGTGTGTTCTCAGTCTGAACATTTATGTGTGTAACTTTAATGTCACTTCAGATTTTATTTCTTATATTGACAACTGCAGATGTCTAAGTAGCCCTAGACATCCTGACATTTTTAAAACATCTGTTGCATGCAATCTCCTCTCATAGACTCCACACATATGCACAACTCCACACAGGAGAAGCAGAAGTCTCTTCTCAAAAATGCCAAAATGAAAAATGGGTCTCTCTTTCGCCTCATCCTTATCGTCATATCGTTCAAATGTTCTGCAAATAAACTTAAAGATAAAATACTAGCTGTTCACTTCAATGGTCGTGTGAATGTCGGACATAAAAATAAATGAATAAAACTTTCCCAAACTGTTTTCACACATACCAAAAACTCCTGAAACATTCTTCAATTTTTCAGGGTGTGAACAGAAAATGACACATTTTCCCCCCGAGACTTTTACCAAACGTTTTCCAGCCGGCCACAAATTTCCCATCACCGACCCCTCCTTCACTTGACAGAGGAATCCTCCAGCAGTGACATTTTAAGAAGTGCACCAGTGAAATCAGCTGAAGGAGTTTGATAATTGTTGTGATGAATAAAAGTGATACTTCTACGATCAACTTCATCATGCTCTGAGGGTGCAGTCTGTTCTCCTTATGATCTGTGCAATAACCCAAGATACCCTTTTGCATAATTTAAGAGTTTTAATATCTCACAGCACAAGCAATTCTGATATATGAACTCAGAGGGCCTAAAGGATCATGAATACTGCTACAGAATCCAAAATAATTTAAATCAACTAAAGGGAACAAGAAGCAGAAGAAAAGACAAACATTATAACCACTAAAGAGTGTATTTAATATTCATTGTAAAATGAAGAATATATTAGAAACATTGTTCTAACCACTGACATGTTTAAACTGCGTCCCTGCTTTGAGCGATGTTTTTCTAAAGGAAAGAAAGTGACTCTTTTCATTGCACAATATCAACACAGAAAAAGCTTTTTGTCAACGATGTCTCTGTCCAATCAAGCATGCTCAATAGAAAGTCGCAGCGACTAGATTAATCAATTACACCTGTGCCTTTCCCGCTGTGACAAACTGAAATACCTGGTCTTAAAACAGCTTAAAGATTTATGCTTTTTGGCATGGTTCAAGTCCAGAAGAGAGTTTAATAAAAGTTGAATTGCTTCGTTTAGGGGAGGACCATACAGTTTTTCATGATGTGTATTTTCATGAATAAACAACATCAATGATTCTGAAGCAAAGTAGCCATGACACATCAGCTTACAATCCTTAACCAAATCTCTATCAACAGATTTTGTAAATAAATTCTGGTTTCTGAGGCAAGAAACAAATTTTAGAAATTAAGTCAGAAATGCTCCAGTTAATGTTTGAATCCCTCATAGTATCAAAGTGCATCGATTGTTGTTAAAAAAAGAAAGAAGCAGAGGGCACCGGTGGCAGAGTGGTTAACTTGCATGCCCCATGTACAGAGGCTGTTGTCCTCGGAGTTGGTACCACGGGTTTGAATCCACCACGGTGTTTACGTCCAGCATTCAACTTCCTCTCTCTCCAATTGTTGAAAGATCAGAAAGAGTTATGCAATTGTTGAATTTGTTTTTTTTTATTTTATTTATCATTTAGTTATTTCATCATTTAATACATAGGTCATAAAGTCATAACCTTTTTCTGCTTTCAACATTTCCTGTTAAACTTACACACACTCGTAGTGCCTACACTCCTGTGAGGTCAAGATAAGTGTGCCATACTTTGAAGCAAGACCACATAGGAGCTCGTAGGCGTGTAGCGTTTCTGAGTATCTGCTCGGTTCACAGTCTTTGAGCTGAAACCACATATGAACTTGGTATTACCTATGTCATGAACTTGGCATGACGTTTCTGCGAACGTGCATTGTTGAGGTGTTACAGGATCTTGAAAAAAGAGAGACTTTTTGGCTATAAAAACGCTGCAGAAAATCTGATCGAGGTTCCTTTTTGCTTTGCAAAACGAATCCACGTCACTCTGACTTTTGAAATCCCATTTTGGGACTCACAGGTTTAGGTTTGGTCTTTGAGTTTTCATTTTCTTTTCCATTTTTATATCTTTTACTTTTATTGTTTTGTATTCACATTTGGAATATCATTTGAGATTTTTAAATAAATTTTCTGACTAAAATCATTTACACCACAAAGACTGGAAGTTCCCCTTAAAGACCCCGTGAACCTCGGAAGGTAAGTTTGGAGTAGTCACACCACGGCACACTTGTCTTACTGATTTATATTACACACTTCATACACACCTAACATCCTAGAGAGGGGAGTTCACAGTTATTCCCTCTCTGGGGGGTAATCTAGAGTCTTACACCAGGGGTTATCCTTGAATCTAATTATTCTAGAAATGAATGTTAGGCAGATAATCCTGGGGCTGCGATTATAACTTGTTCATCTGTCCTCCAAAGGGTGTTAGAGGAGTAATTTTACATAGCTCCTTCCACTAGGAAAGAGTAGGCTAGCAGGTTTGTAGGGAGTGAGCTCTCATTTAGTTCAATAATTAGTTAACTAATGTGTGGTGAGCTTCCGTTAGCTATAGTAAAGTTATTCACCCCTTTTTGCATATCCAGGACATGCTATACCAATAAAAAGCCAATGCTTATGTGCAAAAAGCACAAAACTTTCACCATAAGGTCCTGTATTCAAATGTACGTTTTTACAGCATAATGAAAGTGTTTAAAGTTTGACATTTACGGTTTCTTCAACTGAGCTGCAAAGGGATGCAGTGGTAAGCGCTGTCATATCACAACAAGAAAGTACCTGGTATGCAATCTGCCGTAAAACAATCCTAGAACACAGCCAATATCATTCGCTGACGAGCTGTCCTAAATTAAACTCTATAAATAGATATGTGAAAGTGCTGCTAACAAACAGAACTAAAACATCAAATCAGCTCCAACTCCCTTCTCACTTCCTGATTTGCTCGTCAGACTGTAAACGGTCTCAACACAGAGATATAGAAGTCTGCGTTGAAAGGCCCCTGTGCTAACTGATCACCACACAAGAAGCTCTGACAAAGTTGGAAGTTGTTCCCAGAGGTTATATCATCTGATGAAAGTTGATTGGTTCCCCGATCGCGACCACAAAAGCTCCTCTCGGGAGGAAACAGATGTTTATGTGGATGTTGAAGGGAATCAATCAGAAATCTACACGAGGAGTCCACAGATATCTCCAAACAAAAACGTCTTCAAAGCAGACGACTGGAGGCTGTGAGTCTTGCTAAAAGAAAAAAAACTTCACAAGGTCTCTGGAGCACTCATTATGCAAAATCAAAGCTAACTATATGCTAATGCAATCTATATGCTAACTCACAATACATCTCTGAAATAATAAGTGTAGATAATCAATCTTTAAGCTGACATTTAAAAATGCACAGTGTGTTCCTCTAGCTGATGGATTAATCTGACATGATCTATAAATATAGCCAAGATTATCACAAGACATGCACCACAAAAAACATAATTGTCTAACATATAATAGTTACATCTTATTCTTAATCGTCCTTCAAATTGAAAGCAAACAGACGTCTCTAAAAATGCTAAACCTTTAACTTTTTGTTGTACAGTTTTTATTGAAATGGGTCAAACACATCAAGTTTCTGCCGCTCTGACTGTGAGAAGGATCTGGAAAAATGTAAATAAAGAAGTCTTTCAAATATCTGGATTAAAAACAGAAACATTATAAAACATGATATAAAGTGAGTGACCACCAACGTTAGGTAGCCGAGAGTTTTTATAAGTAAAACGTCAAACCTGCAAATACATTTTTTATTCTGTAAAATGTAACATAGATCACTAAGATGCAGAGTTTCTTTACTAATGGATAAAAAATATGTACAAAGTCTTTTATGTTTGCCATTTTCTCAGTTTTCTTATTTTGTGTCAAATCAAATGTTTTAAGGGAGCACTCACACTTGGCAATCCTTACCCTGTCTAAGGGCGCGGTCACACTGGCCATCCGTACCGTGCCCAAGCACGCTTCACCCCTAAAATCCAGTTCTTTTGATCAGTGTGAGTGCTCCGATCTACACTTCCTTGGTCCTGGAACGCTTAGAAGAGGTGTGCTTCGGCACTGTACAGTTCATGCACGAGCACAAGCACAGATACACAACATGGACAGCATGTATGTGGAGTGTACTGGTGCTCGAGTACGGTACTTTAGTGGTCACACTGATCAAAGGAACCGGACCTTTGGGGTCAAGTGTACTCAGATCCAGGTCCCTAAAATGAAACCACCCTGAGACTACATCCAATGTTTTTGAATAACCTATGATCAGCACTCATTGATGCCTCCCATCCAATCAGATGACTCGGTTGGAACTAAGTGTTGTATAAACATTTTTGTTTACAACAATTCTTTCTTCTCTAAGCTGGTACACAATACATAACAATATCTCCTGCTGTTTTGTATTTATTTATAAACAGAAATGGATGATAGGAAATGTGAGGAAAGATAAAGTCGTTCTGATCTCTCTGCTCAGCAGCATCCAGATAAGAAAAGTCAAAAGTGTCTATTAGAACAATCTCCCTCCTGCACCCTCGCAGGCTTATCCCACATCATCGTAGTCCTCTTCATCATCCTGGTTTTCAACCCCCCCTTCGATGTCATCGATGTCATCGTAGTCCTCTGTGGAGGAAGTTTCTGCAGCTGCATCTGGATCCTCATATGGTGGAGGAGGAAGCATGGCCACCTCGCTCTCTAGCTTCAGATAATCAGGCGGCTCATCTATGCTCTCATAGTCCGGCATGCTCTGCTCGTAGTCCGGCAGTCCGGCATGCTCTGCTCGTAGTCCGGCATGCTCTGCTCGTAGTCCGGCATGCTCTGCTCGTAGTCCGGCATGCTCTGCTCGTAGTCCGGCATGCTCTGCTCGTAGTCCGGCACGCTCTGCTCGTAGTCCGGCATGCTCTGCTCGTAGTCCGATACGGCCTGAACGTAGTCCGGCTTGTCCTGCTCGTAGTCCGGCACGGTCTGAACGTAGTCCGGTACCTCAGCCAGATTTTCATAGCTTTGAGCCTCTGAAACCAGAAGTTGTATATCTTGTTATTATATTATTTATATCACATTTCAGAATAACAGTGTAAAAATATGACTTTGGCAGTAGCTTTAGGCCTGAATGCACCATGTGGTAGCAGTTTGTTTTACTGAATGAGTCAGTAAAGTACCTTGTAGAGCATGAGAGATATTTAAACTAAGCACATCTGTGGTAGTAGCAACAACACGTCTTCCTGCCAAAACCCCCAAAACACTGGCTATAAGTCAGCTGCTCACGCTCACTCTAGCTAGCTAAAAGCAGCTAGCTGCGCGCCATCCAGCATGGCTCAAAACACAGCAAGGACGGTTCAGAAGCAATTCAGAACAACTTGGAACCAACTTGGTAATGCAACTGAATCTTTTAGTGGTATGCAGTACTGGACCATACCGGCCTTCTTTCACCCCTAGTTTTACCCACAATGCCAACATTAAAATTGTAAGGTTAGTGCCAAATGTTGTTATAAGTCTCAATATGACACATTTTTCCTCAGGATTTAACATGTGTAAGTCTTAAACCTAGACTAAAGAGACATATTGTTATTTTCTTTATATGGTCTAGGCAATAAAGGCAAGACAATATCTACTCCCAACAAGCTTCTTAAACCCAGATTGAAACATTTCACACATGTTGCTGGACTTCATAAAATCATTTAACTTAATTAAAATTTTACAAATGGCAGGTTAGATACTGGTCTGTAGTTCTGACAGCTGGCACTTTTCTGGTTTGACGTAACTATAGCCGTCATCTACACTTCTCACTCAGCCTGAATTTGTGATGCATGGGTAGATTTTGGTTCCAGAAAACCACAGTTTGGATTTGAATATGTGTTCTTTGGATCTGAATCACGTTTTGTGCAGCTTTGGGAAAACAGTCTCGACGGAGGCTGATTTTTCACTGCCTTCGTGTCGCCTAATTTTTTTTTTGCTGCCATTAGTGGTCACATGTTTGTTATTTTACAAACTCATGTGAGACATTGATATAATCCTCTTTTTTCAGGCCTTTAGATGTTGGCTTGTAGTCAAATGGCAGATAGATTGAGGTTTTGTGTGCAGTTTCGTGCCGATGTGCTAAACGTGAGAGCTATGATGTGTGGTTTAGGAGAGGAAGAGGGGATTTTGTTGGGTAGTATTGCATCACATAATCCATTCAGTGATCCAATTAAGAGCCTTGCCTGCTGTGTTGAACTGTGTCCGAGGAGGTAAAGGTGGGGTGATGGCTTTGAAGTTCCTCTCCTGGTATTTGTTGCTGCTGTGAGGGTGAAAAGAGAAATGTCAGTTTCATCGTCGTGTTCAGTGACTTCAACATGACTTCAAGTATCAGATCAAACATTTGGAGAATACATTCATTGGCTCTCTTACTAAGAGTTAGAAGAGATGATTGACACCAGTCACATATGAGTTTCTGTCCATTAAATCTAAACAAGAAACACTAAGCTTAGAACAAAAACTGAAAACAAGGCAAAACAGGAATGCTGAACGCTTTGTCCTTAAGTAACAAACTCACTTTCCAGCAAGCCTCCTGGCAAACCAACAGGTGTTGCAGCGATGGAAGCGGTCAAGAGAAGTGGTTCAGATAGAAGTGATTGTACCCGACCTAAAAAGCCTCTGCATGTTTCTAATAAGCTCCACGAGCAGAAACGTGCTCAAACTAGGATCAATATTGGAGATGCTTTTGAAAAATGGAGAGAGGTTAGAACACAGAAAGGTTTACAGACCCATGCAGAGCTGGATAAACACTGAAGCTTCAGAGTCCACCACATGGTGACCTGAGTGAGCATTGATTCTAGAGAGGGGGGGGGGGGGGAGACAGCTCTCTACAATGTTTAGAATTTTGGACTGCAGTACCCCTTTTAAACACTAGGTGTCAGAGCTACATACTGCTCCTTTAAAGTGGACAAAAAGAGTTTTATTTTCCCAGTGCAAAAACGTAAAGCATCAATGTCTCTTACTATCATACGGTTAGCTAAAGTTGATAGAGAGCTAATAATTGTTTCTACCAGAAAATTCTCTGCAGTTTATAATCAAAGGACAAAGGAGAGGAGCTGGGGATCAAACCCCTGACCTTCCGGTTGAGAGATGACCGACTCTACCGCTGATCCACAGCCTGCCCTGTAGCTTCACATATAACAGACATAACTGACTTTGTTACCAACTTTCTCACCAAGCCCTGGAGAACCCAGTGTACCTCCATAAATGAGGAACACATCAGATGTGAGAATGTAGTTTTGTATATTTTAACATATTTTCAAATTACCTGTTAGTGTCGTCAGATCTTCTGTTGAGAAGATGTGGGCTCATGAATCTTCGCCTGGCTGTGGGAAAACAAAACAAAGAAGTTAAATTTAAGCTGCATGAAAAGAAGAGCGATCGTGGTTGAGTTCATTAACAGCTCGGCGGGAGAATGATGCGGGATTATGTCGCTACAAACGAGGATGAAAATACAGACAGCAGGATTGATTTAAGACTACATAAGCACGACATCATCATGAAAATAAACAGCACATTTGCACTTCAGCTGCTCGTATTTGAGCCTTCATTTACCAACTTGTGTTTTCATAAGTATAATTTATGTATAAATTGATTATGATTTGTGTTATATTCATGCGGTCTCTATTTGCTCTGTGTGTATAAACCATCACTCTGCTGCTGCAGCCCAGTTTACCCACAGGGATCATTAAAGTTTCATCTAAGCTAATCAAATCCAGAGGGGACCTCTAATAATAGCAAATCATACAATTATAATTACGCTTTGCAGAGAGCGAATCGGAGGAACACTGCACAGTGACGACGACAGACTGTCAGGGTTTTGGTTTCTCTTCCTGTTCTGGGTTGCAGTGTGTGGAAACAGTTTACAGTTTATTGATTTTCCAGTTATAAGGAAAAAAAACAAAAACAGGTAATGAGAATGAAACTAATGTTTACTGCTCATTTCTTTAAAAATGTTGTAAAACATTCCTGTTAAAAACAGGGAGGGGCATTTAACATGAACACTACTCAAGTGTTAATATGAAGCCCTTTTTTGATGTATTTCTATTTCAGGCTTTCCATTCCTGCATCTTGAGACAGGAAAGTGGACAGAGCCAGAAACCAGAGAGAGAGTGGAGAACGACATGCGGAAAAGGAGCCACAGGCCGGACCCGAACCCCAGCCTCCGCACATGGGGCGCTACCGGGGCCACTCACTCCCCAATTTCTGACTCTCTCTACTGCCCCATCTGTGAAATAAAGCCCAAAAATAAACCTTAAGAAATAGGTTCATGACACACTTTTGTTCCTTTTCTTTGTTCTGTCCCATGTTTTGTAACGTCTAAGGTCCAAACTGCACTAATTTTTCATTCAAATAATCTGATTGGTTGGAAAATATTCAAACTATGTGAAGCAATTTTTCATGAAAGAGTCGGTGTTTGGTCCTTAAGCTAGACTAACTGAGAACCACTGCTTTACTGTTAAAATAGATGGGTAAATATTTGACTTTTTTCCCTTTTTATTTGCATTTTTTTTAGCTTGGGGCGGCAGCAGCTCGGGGTTGGGAACTGGAGTGTCACCGAGCCAAGTTTTGAAGTTGGTCTAAATAAAATTGTATTGTGTGTTTAAAATGAAACAAATAGATCAAATAAAGTAATGGAGAAAAGATTTTTAGTTTTCATCTTTGACCATACTGAGTGACAAAGTGAGTGTCCTTACGATTTGTCTCAGACACGTCAGTTTATATTTTGGATGAGCTCACTGACTGCAGGAAATGTTTTCTCTTACTCATCCAATATTTTATAGGGGTATTTTTTTTCTTACATCTTTCTCTGAACCACTTTTTCCACCTTTTCAAACAGTCCCCTGTGGTCTAAATGAAACATCTGTGCTGTGCTTTGGTCAAAATATAACATGAATCAAGCACCAGAGGAGGTTTGTGACCCTGTATAAACCAGCTCTCTCAGAACGCTCCGTTTTCATGTGTGTGTCTCTTTAAATGCAATGACCCCCCACTGAGTTTTCCCAGTAGACATCACTCCTTCACTAGTGAAAATAAAAATGGCAGATCTGCGCAAAGTTTTGCTCTAGGCTAAGGGTGGAGTCCATGGGTGGAGATACCAGGGAAGAGAGGGTATTTCTTTTTACCAGAATCCCACTGTGACCTCACAAGGAGAGCACATTTGAAACTGAGCATTTTTCTCTGTGTT